GCGGGGCGGCGGGGCGGGCGAGGAGTGCAGTCGGTGACCGCGACGCGCTCGCGGCTCTGCAGCTCCAGCTCCCGCGAAGCCTGTTGCTCGCTCCTCCCGGCCGCCGCTTCCCGCCAGGTGCCCAGGAGCTGTCGGCCGGAGGAGCTGCGGCGCGTGGGCAGACCCCCGCCCTCTCCCTCTCCCCGCGCACAGGTGGACCCGAGCGTCTCCGAAAGCGCGGGCGCGGGGAAGCCACCCCGTGCGCCCCGGACCGCGCGCCGAGACCCCGGGCGCCGAGCGGCGATGAACGCGACCTTCCTGAACCACAGCGGCCTGGAGGCGGCGGGCGGCTTGGGCGGCGGGGCCGCCCTGGGGAACCGCAGCCACGGGCTGGGCACGTGGCTGGGCTGCTGCCCCGGTGGCGCGCCACTGGCCGCCAGCGACGGGGTCCCCGTGGGGCTAGCGCCTGACGAGCGCAGCCTGTGGGTGTCGCGCGTGGCGCAGATCGCCGTGCTCTGCGTGTTGTCGCTCACCGTGGTCTTCGGCGTTTTCTTCCTGGGCTGCAACCTGCTCATCAAGTCGGAGAGCATGATTAACTTTCTGATGCAGGAGCGCAGGCCCTCCAAGGACGTGGGCGCCGCCATCCTGGGGCTGTACTGAGCGCCGCCTCGGCCCGCCCTCGCCAGTGTGGCTGGAAGGAGACGGAGAAGGGAACCCAGGGCCCTCGTCCCCCCTCTCCTGGCGGGCAGCGCGAGAGGCAGCGACGTGCCTCGGGGCGTCAGGGTCCGGGACACTGCGGGACTCCAGACGGCAGCGCGGGAAGGGACTTCCACACCGGGCTGGGTCCTGCGTGCGCTCCAGCGTAGGAGGATGGGAGGGCAGGCGATGGGGTTCTTAACTGTTTTTTGGAAGGAAGTTCGGGACAGGGTGGGAGAGATTGTGGGATGCAACTTGGGGCTGAGGTCACTCGTGCGGGAGTTTTGTGTGTATGTAGGTGGAGTGGAGTGGGGGCGAGTTATGAGCAACGTGGTGGGAGGCGGGGAGAGTTGTTGACGAATCCGAGCAGCTGAGCTTGCTGGCCTGATTTTGCTTTAGAAAAGAAATCTTGTAATAAAACTACAGCCGTCGGGCATCCGGCGGCTTCCGCCCGCACCTCTGTGGGTTGTGTGTGTGTGCTGTGTGTGCTGGCAGGGCTGGGTGGGCGGTGCGTAGCCTAGCAGCAAGCACTTTAAGCCGGTCAAAGGACGCTGAGCCCCAAGACTGGGCAGCTGTCAGGGCAGGTCGGGGGCTCCCGAGGCCCCACTTCAAAGAAGCCCAAGCTGTAGCTGGAGAGGGGAAAAGAGGCCGTTTTCTACACCAACAGCCACAGAGGCTGATCCTGCAGGATGGCCGGACAGCTTGGTGAGATCGATTAAATCACTGAGAAATTTGAATCTGTTTCGTGAGATGGGGAAAACGTAATTAGTAATGAGTTCAAAAGGAGGGAAACAGCAAGATTAATACATCAGGACAGTGGATAAATAAAATTTAATTGGTGTGTATGTGGGGAGGGGGGTGGTCCAGATCGAGGTAAAATTGTAATCATAGGGCCAAAAGCCCTATCCAAGGGCTTGTTTGACTCCACCTTTGTAGAGGGTAGGTGAGTAGTTTCTGAAGATGCACCCTTGTTGCATGGGGAAGGAGGATGTCGGGAAGGGGGGAATGCAAGCTTGGGAGAGGGCTTTGTGGTTTGAAGGATGCAGGATGTTTAAAACTGAGCAAATGGCCTCCAGTGCAGCTGTGTTCAGGAAATGTGGACTCTCTCTTTAGGAGATGCCCCTGCTGCCCAGAACCCTGGCACCTCTTATAGGTGAAGAATTTTCTTAAAGCAGCGTCAAGCAGTGAGAACCTTGGCACTCACAGGCTGGGGGTTGGGGGTGGCTCTGCTGTCTGCAAGTGTCTGGTCTGGCGAAGAGCTGAAATCCAGGGTGGGGGCGGAGCAGGAGAGAAAGCTGGGCTTTATAGTTTGTGTGTATCTTCCTCAGCCCTCATGCCAACCCCACTCAAGCACCTTGATGCTTAGAAGATTTGAGGGGGAAGGCTCTAGTGGATTTCTTCCTCTCTTCTCTCTCTCTTTTATTTATTTGTTTGTTTGTTTGTTTTGCTATGGGTGGAAGTGAAGGTGAATGAGAAGGAAGGTGGCTGAAGCCTTTCTTGGCTTTAGGAAGAGAAGTATAAGGAATGACATCTGATGTCTTTAACACTAGTTCCATATGAGGTGCGGGGGCAGGGGGCATGGTATCTTAACAAAAGCATAGGTGGTCACTGTCTATGAAGGATCCGGAATCTTCCTGGCTCCTGGGTCCTCCTGTGTAGCTGGAATCATCATCACCAGGATGTGTGATGTCTTCCCACCCACCCCCACCCCATCCCCAATCTCAGACCTGGGAGAGCTCATCCAGTTAGATCAGCCCAGTAGAGGCTAGGGGCAAAAAACTACCTGTAAAGTGTCTAGAGGGCGAAATCCACCATGTGGAGAATGTTCTGTTGATGGTTTGGGGTGACTTGCAGGTAGCCCAGCCTGATCTGGGGAGAGCAGCCTTGAATAGTTTGAGCAGCCGGGATGCCTGGCTTTGTGTGGCACAGGTGTCTGGAGCCTGGGCTGACCCGATGGCCTGGAGAATGCAGGTCAGACAGTTGTGGGCGTTCACATAAAATCCACGTGACCAGAAAATGGGAGTTTCAGGAAGAACAGAGCTTAGGTACTGTTTTCTGGCTGACCAAGTTGCAGCAAACACTACTAGAACATCCCTCCAATAAAATGAATCTGTGACTGGGACAAGAGGAGGTGATTTAAGAGTTAAGTTTCCTGAATTTGCTGAAAAAGGAAAGCCTTAGTCGGGAAGCTGTGCAAGATTTTCTCACTGTAAAGAAGAAAAAGGACAATGAAGACATGTCTGTGTGCTAACATGCCTGTTTGTGCCCTCCACACCATGACTGGAACACCCACGTGCACAGACACACTCACGGGCACTGGTGCATGAGTGGATGTTCATGCAGGCGGGCGCGTGCAAAGACAGGCTCAGGGAGGAAAACAGCAAGCATGAGTGGGGTCCTGGGAAGGGGCAAAGAGTGAGATCACGTTTGCAACCTGTCTTAGGTCTCCAGAAGCCCCGATGTCCTGCAGTGTATTTACAGAGCTATTTTATGTAAACCACGAGGGCAGGAACACCTAGTTATGTAAGAGCACAGGAAGCATAGTGATCCAGGGGAAAGGCAAGATTGGATCAGAACCCTGAGCCTGGGGCATCAGGTTCTGGATCGAGAAGGGGTCTGGTTCTCCAATCCTTCCCCAAACTCCCCACCCTTGGGCAGGGAGAGCTCTTCCTACAAGGGACGGCCAGGATTCAGAGGTCAAATCTCTGGGGGTCTTGGGTTCAGCAGAGTCCTGGACCCTAGCCTTTGAAAACCTAGCTGTCCGCTTCCTAGCTTTGTGACTCTGAGTAACTCAACCTCTCTGAGCCTCAGTTTCTTCACCTATAAAATGGAAGCAATAGAACCCATGAGATGATGAGTATAAAGTAGCCAACATAGTGCCTGCCATGTAATAAACACCCTATAAAGATAATTATTACGATTATCATTATTTTTGCTTATGGTATGAACTCTTTACCCCCAAGATATATTTGGTTCTCTGAAATGGGATCCTGGACAGAAAAATAGTAATTCATATTTGCAAAGCATTTTGTAGTTTTCAAAGCACTTTCATAAGCAGGATGAAAATAATGTACCATGTGTCTAATGTGCTGAGCACTGAGCTCCCAGCCTGCTGAGGAAGGTTTCCTCACCACTCCCATTTTACAGGTGAGAGAACTGAGGCTCAAAGAGGTTACCTGAGGTTGCTCAGCCAGGAAGGGACAGAGCTAGGACTGAGCCCTGCCTGTGACTCCAGCCTTCACTCCACAGGCTCTTGTTTGCTGTCTACAGCAGCCTGGTGAGTAAGAGAAGACACTCTTCCATGTGCCTGATTATAGGAGAGGAGACTAAGGTTCAGTTTAATGGACTTGCCCAAGTTCATCCTTTTAAACAGTGTCTACTGGGGATCTTCTGTTCTGAGCAGGCACTGGGGTGAGCGAGGGGATGGCAGAGCTGGAGTCTAGCCCAGCCTGCAGCTCCTGAAGCCCCGGGTACTTGTCTTGCTCCTCAGGGCCACTAGCCCTTGGGTGGAGGCAGCTGGTTCCACAGGTCCAGGGACTAGGTCAAACCCTCTGAGTCAGGGGTGGAATTTCTGGGGTCAGCTGTGCCCTCAGTAGCAAAATGTCCCCTGGAATGGGGAGCAGTAGAAAGGGCTTACATTATAACATCCAATTCCTTTCCCACTTGTTTGTCTGAGCTGACACACAGAGCCATGTTGGGTTGGCTTCCAGGAGTCTCCCTGCCCGAACTCTCCCCAGACCCCAACTCAGCAGCAGACCAAAAGCAGCCTTGAGCATTAGGGGAGGTTTAGAAGGGAGGGTGAAGTGTGAGAACTGGGGTGCACAGACAAAATGGCCACATGCGGCATTCCACTGTTGGGGACAAGGGGTGTGTGTGTGTGTGTGTGTGTATGAGAGATGGTCTTAGGAATGTTCTGGTCACTGGCATTTATTAGCCATGCCTTACATGACTCCCCTGGTGCTGGCTGCTGAGGAGGTTGCTAAGATGAAGGCAATTCTGCCCTCAAGATGCTAATAACATGACCAAGAAATAGCAAGCCACATGGGGACTCAGTTATGCCATCCTCTTTTATGGGTGTCCACAGTGGCAGCATGCATCACCCCACAGTCCTGTTTTGTCTGAGGATGAAGAGGAAGATTCTGGATCTGGAGGAGGAAGATGTGGGGAGAGGGTGTTTAAACATCTAGGTCCCCTAGTTCCTTACTCACAGGGACTCACAGAGCATCTGGCTTATGCAGGATGCTCTATGGGGCTTTGTGAGGACTGGGGAGAAGAAGGGCCCTGAGGAGAGCTTGGGATATATGAGTCCACGCTGGGCCCCAAGCTGAAGAAGGCCCCCACCCCCAAGATGGGCCTCTTCCTAGGGCCCTGGTTCTGTAAGACCACGGCCTTTGCCATCTTCACAGCCACCCAGCCGGAAACCACGTCGGACTCTCCTCCTGTCTGCCCCATGGTTAATCCCTTCAGATTACTGCCTGGGCTGTGCCAGAGCCCTCCAAATGGTCTCTGGACCAACACACTTCCCTCTTCCCTGATCCCTCCTTCACTATCACCAAGGCGATTTGTCCACAACACAGGTGGCATCATGTCACAACTCTCCTGGGTAACCTGTAGTGTTGCCGGCAGAACTGTCCAAATGCTTGAGCCAGTGTTCAAGACCTTCTGAGCTGTCCTACACCTCTATGCTTCTGCGACCCAGCCCCCAAGCTATAACCTGAAAAAGCTGCCAAGTTCACATCCCATGCCTTTACTCCTGCTGCTCTGCTTTCCTCAAATGCTTCTCTTCCCTTCCTCTGCCCTTTAAAACTACTTACCCTCCAGGGTTAAGCTCAATTGCAATGTCATCCATGCAACAGATTTATAATTGCTTCTATCACATAGCCCCACTGCACAATCTTTATTCATCTGCATAAGAAAAGCTAACATTTATTGAGCCCTTCTATGGATTAGGCTCAGTTCATGTACTAATTTTCCAAAGAGGTGGCTTCTACTAACATCCTTATTTTACAAGGTTAAGAGACTTATTTGAGGTTGTACAGCCAGTAAGTAGGTGCAGCTGGGATCTAAACCCAGGCAGACTGGTTTCTGAGTTCACACTCCTAACCACCAGGCTATGCTGCCTCGGTGTGTGGCAGACACCTCACTCGGCATTGTGCTCTGGTTACTGGTATCCATGCCCATCTCCCTCACTACACTATCCTTGAGGACCAGAACTGTGTGTGTATTTTGTACAGCACCCAGCATAATGCTTTATTCTGTTTAGGAACATTACTAAGCTTGGTTGAATTGAAGACACAGTCCCTGCTCTCAAGGGTGTCATGCATCATAGGGATCAAAGACATGTAATCAAATAAACAAAACTCAAACAGCATTCACTGTAGTCAGATGCAAATAAAATTCCATGGAAATGATTCCTCTTTTAGGTGCTAACATTGCCATTTAGAGATCTTCTACAT